AGACCCATTAAGCCTCCGGGGCACGATTTGCAGATGAAACGTGAACCGTGCAGTTGACATCAATTCTGGTGCACTGTACGTGCGAGAAAGCCAGCAACCACCTCTCGCAGGTCGTCAGATTACCTGCGGTCTGTGGGTTTTTGGTGTCAATGGGTGTGGGACACCTCGTAATGTTGGCGAGGCTCCTTTTCGTCTGCGCTGGGAGCTCTATCGCACGCACACGTGCACAGCCGTGCGATTATTCTGCTGGCATTTTGTAATGAATTGATTTCAATGCTGGGGCTGCGCGCTTTCGCTTCGATCGCCAGTAATGTGGGCAGTCAGTCATTTCAGTCTGCACCGAGGTGATCAGGTGCGCTGCTTAAAGAGTCCGAGCAAGAGGGACAAATAACAGTAATAATCCTTGCATTTGATACAGCGCCTTATCACGTCTTCGAGACGTCTCACAGCACTTCGCAGAATATATTGGGAATCGACTGCATGTTTTGTGGGTGAAACGTGGCAGCCAATTCCTCACAAACAGTCGTGGATTGAGTGACCGAATTATCCTTATTTATTTTTTTGAAGTGATTATTACCCCCGGAAGAGCGATCCGCCAATACCCCAAGAGGGCAACAAATGACGAAAGAGGCCACTTATGCTGTACCTTATTTTTTAGCGTGGGATATATTTGCGGTTGCGCAGAGGCTGCTGATCGATGCCTGAGGATGATTGAGTAAATTCAGAACTCTCCCATTTGACAGGTCAATTTCGAAGACAAATGGCGGTCCAGTGTTTAGATGAGTGATCCTTTGATAACTGTCCTCACGGTGTCTTGATTATTTCTTGGGATTATGGCTGTGGGTAGAGCCAGTAAATTAGACATCATCATTTGTGTCCCCATCTCCAAGAATGAATATTTTCTCTTAAATTGTAGATGGAGACATTTTGAGCCTTTGTCCTGCTGACTGTCTGTGGTAATAATAGTAGTAATAATAATAATAATCCTTGCATTTGATATAGCAACCTTATCAGGTCTTCGAGACGTCTCAAAGCGCTTCACAGAATATACTGTAAAGTGAATTGACTGTGTATTTGTGGGCGAAACTTGGCAGCCAATTGCGCACAGCAGTGTCCCACAAACAGTTGTGGATTAGTGGCCAAATTATTTTTTTTGAAGGAATTATTATCCCCGTAAAAGCCATCTGCCACTCGACTAACAACCGGGTTCCTACTTACTGCTAGGTAGACAGACGTGTGGAGTAAGGAAACTTGCCCAATGTTTCGCCATGCCCGGGAATCGAACGCAAATTTCTTGCTTGCGAGGTGAGTGCGAGGCAGGTAGCAGAAGAACCGAGGGATTTGGGAACACGGGTAGAAAAGACATTCATTGAATTCACTTTCGTTTGAATTGTTTGGATTATCCTGGCCGACAATCCCATCCCCACACAAAAAAAATGGCAATTTGCTGTGCGCAGTTTTGCTGCTTCGTTCGCCTCTAAAATGCACAGTCACTGAACTCCACAGCAAATCCATCCAAGAACTTTGAAGGGTAGGAATGCGGCCGAAGGCGCGGTAGAAGCGGGGTGGGGGGGGGGTCTTGAGGCGTGCTTTGAAGGAGGCAAGGGAGGGAGCGAGGCGACGGGAATGTGGGATGGAGTTCCAGAGTGGGGGCAGAGAGGCTGAAGGCCCGACCGACGATGGTGGAGCGGGTTGGGCAGGGGGATATGGAGTAGGCTGGAGCCCGCCGGGGGCATCAAATTCTCCCAAGGAGGGTACTGCAAGACCCGGCTAGTTAGTGCCAAACTAGTTTCGTTCGGTGATGCCTAACTCTTTCCATTTCCGAGAGAGAAAAACACATGAGCAAATCAGGAATAATCTAACATATTCATCTTGAGAAATTAACTCAGCCAAAATAATTTCACCTCGAAGTGTTTCCCCCACCCAGTAGCCCCCCCACCCCCACCGCCACCCCCACCTTTACTGTCTGAGAAGTTGGGGACGTCACAAATAAACCTTGCGCGTAAATTCATAAGGGTTGAAGTGAATTTTTTTTTAGAGCGGGAGGTTGTTTTTTTTTTAAACAAAATCTTTCCCGCTGAAAACTTCCCAAACGTATCGCTGGGGTTATTAAGGATCGTCTTGGCAACCCGTGGAATGTGCCAGTATCCAGCAGATATTTGTGTTCAGGGACAAAGTAGCCAGAGGATTGAGAGCCGGGAGCCCTTTCATCGACTTTGGCAAAAGGTTTGACATTAATGATCGCTGCGCATTGTACAGTTTTACTGATGTCAGCGAAAATGCTGCAGATACACGTACGTCGAAGATTTTATGGGAGACGGACAACGTTTTCATTTCAAAATGAATGATCGTAAAACATTTTCTCTCTCTCTCTCTCGCGCGATCCCATCCCAAATATTTAATTGGCTTTGGCAGCTGTCTGAAATGCTGGGCGCATTCGTTTGGTAAATTTAGCCCAAACTGAAGCTGGCATCTTAGGTCATCGACGGGAGTTTTATAAATAGATGATTTGTTGTGCTCTCGAGGGGGCAGGAGGCTGGAACATTTTCCGCTTGGCTTCAAAAACAGACTTATTCAGTGATAATTAATGTCCGTTATGTCACCCGTGTCCTCTCTGCAATGCCACCGCTCCCATATAACCACAGCAGTACGTTCAACCACACGCCAACTTGTCTCCTCTGCTCTCCAGAGGGATGTGCTGTGTTGTATTGTTACAGGTTATATTATAAGCACTTTGGATGTAACTCGCATATGTCCTAACAGCACTCAATGAATGAATGAATGAATGACTGAATGAATGTTCATCCCTCAGGCTTTCTCATTCTGAAATACTTCACAGGTGATCATTGTCCAGCGACGGTAACTTATTTTAAGGAACTGAGGAAATGGAGCCCATTGAGCTTGTCTTCCCAGTTTATCAGATCATTTCAGATAATAATAAAAGCAATAAGGATCCCCGGATTTGATACAGCACCTTATCATGTCATTCGGACGTCTCAAAGCGCTTCGCAGGGTACGCTGCAAAGTGAATCGACTATGTAGTTGTGGGCGAAACACGGCAGCCAGATGCTCACACAGCAATCAACCCATAAAACAGACTTCAGGGAATGACCAAATTTATTTCAGGGATTTGTTGGCCAGGACCCCGGGAGAAAGTCCCCTTTCAAACCGTGCCATGGGATCCTTGAACGCACATCTCAACAGGCACACGTTTCATCCGGAGTACAAAACCTCCGATAATCCAAAATACCACCCCACACTGGAGTGTTATGTGTGATTCCAAATCCCGACGTGGGGCTTGATCCCACAACCTTCTGACTCCGAGGCAAGAGTGCTACCACTGCGTCAGCCTGACACACAATCCCACAGATCTGTTCATCCCTTCCCGCTTTCTCCGTACCACTTTATACCTTTAGTTCCCACGTATCCATCCGTCCATCCCTCCATATTGATTCCACATCTATCCTCTTCTACTTGTTTATTAAACTGAAACTGGAGACATCACAGCAGTTTGGATCAGGGATCAGGGTCTGAAAGTGGAAGGCAGCTTGCTGGTCGGGTTGTGACTCTATAACTCCGAACGTTAGTGACTCTGAAGGGGTCGCTGAGCTCGTTGGTTGGGAACAACACCCATTTTTTTAGGTGGTCTGCTTCACGTTTCTGTGGCTTAAGAGACAAGATTCCTCAATGCACGTTTGGTTAGTGACTGGCGAACTGGAGAAGGATATGCAGGTTAAGTATAATGCGAGTAGCACTGCTCTAGTGTTCTGTAATTCAGATGTTTGGACCATGGCAGGCAGTATGTGAGGATTGTTTTCCTGTGTGACCTTTGAGTGATGCGAGATTGATAACCGTAGACATTTCCAGACACTGCGGCGGCCAAGCCAGATTGTGAGATTCTATTCTCTGATTGAATTCATTTTATTTTTTGAATAAATAATGCAATGGCAAGAAGTCATGAATTTATTCATCGGATCATTTACTGGTGTAGAGTGATTAATGGTGCAGAACGTTTCCCCCCGGGGGGATTGAGTGACGTTGGAATCCGTTGACACAGGTTAAGGTGATCTGAGCTAAGAGAGGGCTCGATGGACCGAATGGCCTCTTCTTGGACTGTGCTTTCTTCTGATCTCATGGTTACAACTTGTACCAGAATTCCAGCCGTAGGAATGTTAACATTCTTCTGAATGCTGCTCTTCCAACTTGAGTCAGTAAATGGTTCAGTTGGTAGCAATCTCACTTCTGGGTCAGAAGGTTGTGGGGAATTTGAGTTCATGGTCTAAGCTGATATTCCAGTTCAGCATTGGATGAGACGTTAAACCGAGGTCCCATCTGCCTGTTTGGATAGCTGTTAAAGATCTCATGATCTTATTCAAACGAGAAAGCAGTTTCTCTTGGTATCCTGCCAAGAAATCCAGTTAAATTGGTCATTCACTTCATGGTTGTTTACGGAGCACTGCTGTATGAAAATTGGCTGCTGCATTCATGTACAGAATAATCAAATAATAATGGTTCCTGTTTGCGTCCAGAGATGGCCGTTCACACAATGTGAACACCTGGGGGGGGTGAATCTGTTAATGGTGGGATGTCTTGAAGACATGATAAGGCGCTATATCAATTGCAAGGATCTATATTGTTATTATTTATTATTGTAGTGCAGAAACTGCTGCCTGCACAGGAACCACATACTGGTTCCGATCAGTGATCAGCGATCAGTGTGACCTAGTGTCAAGGAATATCCGAGAAAATTTGCCCACTTTCTTACCACAATGGCAGTTGTTAATGGCAACCACACAAAATGTCTTTAACGACAACAACTTGCATTTCTATAGCACTACCTCACGCATCCCAGAGCGCCAAACGGTAATTACTGTGAAGCGCTTTGAGACTTTTCACCATGTTAAGATGCTATATCGAACGCGAAGATTGTTATTATAACAAATATTATAGATAAAGCTGCAACTTGCAACTCATTCTCTGTGTCTCCTTCTGTCTTCCAGGGGCCTTCCTTATTCCTTATATGCTGATTGTCCTGGTGGGAGGAATTCCAGTTTTTTTCTTAGAGATCGCACTGGGGCAGTTCATGAAGCAGGGTGGCATTGGGGCCTGGAACATCGCGCCGCTGTTCAAAGGTAAGAGACAAATTACATTAATATTATTGTGTCTTTGGTTTGATGTGGTTCACTCTGCGTGTGTGTGTGTGTGTGTGTGTGTGACTGTGTGTGTGAGCAAGAGAGCGTGATTCTGTCCAACTGTGTGTGTGTGTGTGTGCGCGCGCACGTGTGGCTGTGCGTGTGTGTGTGTGCCTGTATGTGTGTGTGTGACTGTGTGTGTGAGCGAGAGAGCGTGATTCTGTCCAACTGAGTGTGTGTGTGTGTGCGTCAAGTACATTCCCAGTGCTCAAATGATACAGCTGGTTTGAACATTCATGTTGAATGCAGTGCCATCTAGAGCACAGACAACATCTAGAGCAATTACCTATATGTAAAAAGATAGACAATAGACAACACCAGGCAATGTTAAGGGGCTGAGGAGCATTGAGTAGCGCTAAGCACTGCTGCTGCTGTTATTGGAAAATAAGTCAGTGCGTGAAATAACGCCGATAACAACTATACATCCTTTATCGGAAGCAGAGAGGAATTGTCTAGCCCCTTGGCTCAAGGGGATCAATGGCTCAATGGGAAAAGTCTCCTGTTGGCCTCCAAAATGGAGCTCACCTCTTTGGTTGGCCAAGAAAATAAATGTCTCTTGATTGAATATATCTTGATTTATGGCACGAATCTGTAGTATTTTGCTATTTCTACAGTTACTTTGTTGGCCGACCGAAAAGGTTGGCCGCCACCGCTGATGTAGACCAATAGACGGGCCTATTTTTGGTCGGGGGATTTGGGCTGTATTTTTAGAAATGTAGTAGATTTAAAAATAGCCATTGGAACCTCGATGTGGAGCTTGGCTGTTTCACCGTCGGTCAGTGATACGCTAAACCAGGAGAAATCTTTGGCTGTACTCCGAATGCAATTTTCAGAAATGTTTGGTGGCACTCCAGCTCGCCAGCTCAAGCCAGTTACTGTGCTCCAGATGACACTGCACCTGGGAGTTGATCAACTAAAGTAGATCAACGCCTCAATTGCATTCAGTCACCTTGTTCCCGCTATCATAATGAACCAATCCTTGCATTCGATACAGCCCCTTATCACGTCTTCCAGACGTCTCAAAGCGCTTCACAGAATATACTGTAAAGTGGATTGACTGTATATTTTGCGGGCGAAACTCGGCAGCCGATTTGCACACAGCGGCGACCCCATAAACAGTCGTGGATTGAGTGATCAATTTATTATTATTATTTTTTTTTGAAGGAATTATTACCCCAGGAAAAGCGATCCTCCAATCGACTAACAACCGGGTTCCTACATACTGCTAGGTAAACAGAGTGGGGCTATACTCCCTAATTCATCTGAACCCCTCCTGCCCCAACACACACACACACACACACACACGTACGCACGCACATTTCACTTACAAAATACAGTCACTACACTTTACAGTAAAATCCTTTGAAACGCTTTTAGACAATGTGACATCATTTACACTGATACAGCGCCTTTCACTTCGGGAGGATGCCTCAAAGCATTTAACGCTGCGTCTGCCTGGGGAACAAAGCTGAGGACGGGGAGGGGGAAAGATAGTCAAGGAGGTACATCTGGAGATAAGGGGGCTATATGAAATGTATGGATTAGTATTATTATTATTTAGCACACTGCTCCTGATGGGTGGTTATTGCAACCGTTGTTTCTCTATTATAATGACATGTATCCCACAAAACACACACTTTACAGTATATTCTGGTGAAGCGCTTTGAGACGTCTCGTCGACGGGATAAGACGCTGTATGAAATGCAAGGATTACTACTGTTATTATTATTGTTATTATTATTGTCCTTGTCTTCTTTTAAAACCCTTTCCAGGTTTGGGTTTCGCTTCAATGGTCATTGTGTTTTTCTGTAACACGTACTACATCATGGTGCTTGCCTGGGGCCTGTACTATCTCATCCATTCCTTCACCAACAACCTTCCTTGGGCGACCTGCGGACACTCGTGGAATTCTCCCGAATGCACCGAAGTCTTCCGGCACGATCAGTGCCACAACGGAACAGTCATTAACTCGCCGGGTTTCAACTTCAGCTGTGATGAGTTGGCAGACAAACGCTCCCCCATCATTGAATTCTGGGAGTAAGTACCACCTCTCTCTCTCTTTCTCTCCGTTGTAACCACGCAGATAAGATGTGCAGATGTACCATGGCCGTTTGGATCGATTTTTGCTTCGCTGCCTTTTTGGTCAAAGGTTGCGCTCCTATACTTGTTAGGTCAGGGCATCAAGGGATACGGGGCAAGGGCGGGGGGGGCATCAATTGGACTTGAGGTGCAGACTCAGCCGTGATCTTATAGAATCGGCAGAACAAGCTCGAGGGGCTGAATGGTCTCCTCCTGTTTCTACGTTTCATCAGCGTCCAATACAAGCTTCGTTTCCGTCCACGCTCTTAAGTCGGATGCAGTGTGTGTTAAAGACAGAGTCGTGCAAGTTCCTGCACTTCTCAACGAGGGACTTTTAATTGCTGCGTGGAATTGCCAGCCGCAATTGGCCCCCGAAATACACAGTCGATCCACTTTCGAATACATTCTGCGAAGCGCCTTGAGGTATCTCAACGACATGCTAAGGCGCTGTATCGAATGCAAAGATTAACAATAATAATAATTCCAATTTTAGTCCGGGGTAGTACAACAATGTGCATGTTATCATTTATACATTAACGGATCTTGTGTCTTCCCTGAGAGAGAAGTTACCAATGACTGCCAATTAGATGGTAAGTAAGTGTAGGAATGCAGGTGAAATGGGATGTTTGCGCACTCATAGGCCTACTTTCCACTGATTGAGAATGCAGCCAAACTGCCTTTAGTTCAGCACAAATTGGTTCCAAATTTACGGTTTGTTAAAACAAGATAGACTCCGCAGGGATTGTTATTTTGTGAGGTCGGGTTTATTCTGCAACTACCTGACCAGGACATGTTTGATCAGACTTTGTGGTAGGAGCGTTACTCTAAACACTGAACTCAACCAACGCTATACCTGATCTGGGGAGTGCTTAGTGCTGAGTACTGGGTGCTTCACACAGCGGTGTGTGTCCCTTTTCACAGTTGAGCACACCTTACATTTGCTGAGCGTGAAGTTGACCAAACTTGGTAACGATTCAAACAGAGTATTGAAGTTAACCTTGCTCTACTTTTTCCCAATGCGGTGCCTCTGGTTGAAACACAGCTCCATCAGCATAACTTTCTCCCCCTAGCCATCCCCTGTCCCTTCTGACTGAGGTGACCAGTTGAATGCTGAATTAAGGCTGGATTTTGTGCCTTAATCTTGCTCTGAGCAGGGACTGATTTGAGGCTGTCTAGACTCATTTCGCACATGCAGTCTCGTGCCATCATCCTGTGCTGTTTTCAACCCAGGTTCTCAGACGTGTCCTGAACAAAGTGACACAAACAAAGAGAAGATATCAATCATATGATCAACAGGGGTGTTTTTGCAGGTTGTTGACCGTCAAGCATGTGTCACAATCATTTCTGTGCGTCTCAGCGAGGAACGTTAACCTGTCTCGAGTTGCGCTTATGGAATGACCGTGTTAACCCTTTCAGGAAGAAAGTGCTTCGTATCTCGGGAGGAATAGATCAACCTGGAACAATCAACTGGCAGATGTTGCTCTGTGTCCTGGCAACTTGGATCATAGTTTATTTCTGCATCTGGAAAGGGGTGAAGTCAACAGGAAAGGTAAAAGATCAAGTTTAACAGTCGCTCCTATCCCACAAAGATTGTTCAATAATAATAATAATCCTTTGCATTTGATATAGCGTCTTATCACGTCTTCGAGACGTCTCAAAGGCTTCACAGAATATACTGCAAAGTGAATTGACTGTGTGTTTTGTGAGCGAAAAATGACAGCCAATTGCACACAGCAGCGTCCCACAAACAGTCGTCGAGTGACCGAGTTATTATTATTGTAGGTGAGGTTTCACGGCAGGCACCGAGGTGAGGTTAAATTGCCATTTGCTATTTTCTAAGTACAAACTGCATCAATTCTGGCAAATTGCACCAAGAAATGTTCGAATTCTTTCCCCCAAAAATACCCAGCTAAGGATGTCTCAAAGAATGATCTGATGATGCCTCCTTCGTCCCAAACCCTCCAGCAACACCGAAGGCAGTGTTGGCACATTGTCTAGCAGCTTGACTGGCAGAAGGAATTTATTGCGACAGATTTATTGTGTCTCACAAAACGCCTCCGCAGTGAGCAGTCAGGCTCTGAAGCGGGCACAGAACCGAGGTCAGGTGATGCTGAATCCAGCTTCGGGAGGTCGAACACCGCAGGAATGGCCGTGCGATTAAGCGGTTTGAGTTCCTCCGTACAATTCCGTGGGCGTGTCTCGCCTCCGAGTCAGAAACTTGTGGGTTCAAGCCCCCAGGTCGAGACTTGGAATCACATAGTCTAAGCTGACATTTATTATGATTAATATTATAATAAGAAATCTGGGTGAAAGATTGAGGCTCACACCTTTTCCCTTCCATCCTCCCCCCCCCCCCCCCCTCCACGCACACCTATACACGCAGTTTAGGATTTCTCCTCGCTCGCTCGCACACACACACACACACACACACACACTTCAAGCTGAACTGTAAATGACAGTGATTTCCCTGCTCATTCAGAGCATGTCATACTCGGGTGCCCTTGATAGAGGCAAAAGGTTTCAACGTGACGAATGGATGGGAGTGCAGCAGAGGCTGTGTTATTTCTCAGAGGAATTTTTGCCTCCAGTCCACTGGAGCCCATCTGCCATTCACCCAGAGATACACACACACACACACACGTACCATATGGTTCTCTAGATTCAATCACAAGTGGGATTTTTGCCCTGTTTTTTTTTCTCCGCAGCCAGAGCCGCTGATCCTAATTATCTGTCCCTGGGTTGGAGAACCAACAACGGTGATCAAACCAGGGATCGTCCTGGTCTTTGTGGCTCGGCTACTCACTGGATAAACTCGCTGAATCAGGGCACCCGGTTAGTCGATTGGCAGATCGCTTTTCCGGGCTTAATAATCCCTTAAAATAAAGAAAGAAAGAAGAATTGGGTCAATCCAATTCCACGTCTGTTTGTGGGAACGCTGCTGTGCACAATGGGCTGCCACGTTTCACCCACAAAATATACGGTCAATCCACTTCACAGTATATTCTGTGAAGCGCTTTGAGACGTCCCGACGACTTGACAAGGCGCTGTGTCAAATGTAAAGGTTACTATTGTAATAGTAATGTTTGAAGAACAGCTGGACTGATGCCTCTTGTGTTCTCTCCGTGCGCAGGTTGTGTATTTCACAGCAGTGTTCCCTTACATTGTACTGATCGTCCTACTGGCCCATGGCGTATCGCTTCCTGGTGCTCTGGATGGCATCATTTACTATCTGAAACCAGATTGGTCCAAACTTGCCGAAGCTCAGGTAAAAGATCTTACTTTTCCTCGTTCCTTCTGTCTTTCTTTCTCTCTCTCTCCCCCTCTCTCTCTCCCTCTCCCTCTCACTCTCTTTCTCTCTCTCTCCCCACCCCTCCCCTTCCCCCCGCCCTTCCTTCCTTCTTTCTTTGCCTCTCTCTTATTTGCTGATTCTTGGAGATTTCTTAAACGACATAGGACTGGGCTGAAGGTTTTTTTTTATTAACCTTTTTCGGTGGTGGTGAGGAGGAGGAGGAGGAGGAGAAAATAGGGGCGAATATCGAGCTTCTGCATTCGTATTTTAAATGAGTTCATTGGAAAATTAGCGTTTGCTCGCTATCCGTAGGTTCCTAAAGTCTGAACCCTTCAATCCAGTTTGTCAAAAGGATCGATCGTGTTCCCTTTAGTCTTCCGAGCATACTTCTGCTGCCTTTATAGAATGTTTTATTTTACTTGATTTCTCTTGAAGGTTTGGATTGATGCAGGGACCCAGATCTTTTTCTCATATGCGATTGGATTAGGAGCACTTACAGCACTAGGCAGCTACAATCGGTTTCACAACAACTGCTACAGGTAACCTAGTAACGCAGGAGCTCAATTTGTTTCATTCCCTTTTATTTTATCACCATTTGGGTATTATCGCAGTGAAAGGCTGGTCATGCTTTTGAGGACGTTTCTCTGGTGTCAATAGTCCGTCTCTCCAGCCCCCCCCCCCCCCACCCTCCAACCCCTCCCGCCCCCTCCAACCCCCCAATTCCCCCCTCCCTTTTACATCAGTGACGAGAGCTTTGAGAATGCCTTTCACAATGCTGGTAATCCCCCCCCCCACCCCACCCTGCCTCCCACCCACCCACCCTCAACTAATGAGGTCCGCTGTGAAACTTGTGGGCGAGACCCATCAGTTTGCCTCTGGTCGCAAGTGTAATTCCAGCATGCTATGAACGAGTGATTGACAGCTACAAGTACCTGGCCTGTGCAACGTCAGTATCGGAGGTGGGGGTGGGGAAGAGGAGAGAGAGAGAGCGATGGGTGGAGTGGTGATGGCTGGGCGGGGTGCCAAGTGCAGCTGCGGTTAAAGAGGCGACTGATCGGAGTGGGGGTGGGGGGGGGGGGGGCCTGTGAGTGGGACTGCTACGAAGTCGGATCGCAGGAGCGATGGCCGGAGTCCGGAGTGGATCGGAATGGCGCGGAGCGGAGAGGAGACAGCGATGGTCGTTCACTAGTGGGTTATAGGAGGAAACGGTTCATTCCTGTAGCTGTCAATCATCTGTAAGTTATGGTACTGCTTGTGGTACTGATGATGATGGTTGCTGAAAAATGTCATGAAGTGCTGGCTATTCAATGATGGTGCTTAACCGACTGCCCCCCCTCCCTCCCTCCCTCCCTCCCTCCACACCTCCCCCCCCCCCCCACCACACTCCTCCCTGACCCACAGAGCGGCCTTTTTTTTCATTCCGAGTGTTTTTTTCACCCCCGCCCCACCCCCCGCTGACCCTGAACGGTGATCACAAAGAGGAAGCTGACCTTTTTTTCCTTTTCCACAGGCTGGACTTGAAGCCAGGTCTCCAGCAGCGAAGAGAAACTGCTAAGACTTAGCGTCGCATGCCAAAGCTGTGCCGGCACCTTGCTGCCTGCATGGCTTTGCAGCGAACGAGTGCTAAACCCAAATGGTCAGCACGCGCCCATAACTGTGCACGACACAGGGCAATGGCCTGCCCGCCTGATGAATCAATCACACGCCGTTCCCCACCCCCCCCCAACCCACCCACCACCCCCCCCCCAGCTGTTTCAAATGCAAGCAATACGAATTGTACAGGCCTGGGAATTGTCCACTGTGGTCCATCTGCCCACTGCTCCCATTTCTAAATTACCATGGCTCGCTCTCCCTCATACCCCTCCACCACCACCATTGTATATACCATCTAACTCCTGGCATTGGACAGGGTACAATCTAATGGCCCAGTTCCCCCACTTTCCCCCTCTATCTGTTGATACGGTCATCAAGTCTCTGGGAGACTTAAAACCGAGGTCCCGTCTGCGTTTAAAGATCCCACGCTACTATTTGTCAAAGGGAAGGGAGTTTCTCCCGGTGTCCTGGCCGACAATCCCACTCCCCACACACCACCCCCCATCCCCCGCCACCACGATGGAATCGGTCATTCACTTCATGACTGTTTGCCGGACATTCTGCCGCATTGGCCTACAAAAAAATACAGTCACTACTCATCGCAGTAAATCCTGTGAAGCGCTTTGAGGCATAGTCCTAATCTGAAAGGGGCCGTATCAAACGTAAGGATTAAATCCATGCTGTTTGTTCACCGTCCCCTTTCCGAGTCCGAGACCTTGACTCCTGGTGCTGAACTCTTCGACTGACTGCGTTAGATATGTTTTTAGGAATTGGGGGTGGGTGGTGGGGGGGGGTAGTGGGGGGGTGGCGGGGGGAACGTCAATAAGATGCCCCTATTTAACCTTTTCCTCAGTTTAAGTACTCCCAGATTCCACCATCTCCCAGGCTCTCGGGTGCCTGAACCCACATATCAATGTGACTCCCCATCACTGTACCCTCTCCAATGCCAGGCTGTCCCTATTGCAGCCCAGATACTAGACCTGCTCCCAATAATCTAGGTGGTACTAGACAAGTACTTTGTACAAGTTTGCCATCACCTGCTATGACTTATGCGCCATCTGCAGTATTTCTACATCCCAGCTTCTGTTTGCCTTCCTTCCTCCTGCCCCAAACTATGTAAGACTGAAAATATCTGCCAATACCTCGTCCTGGCTGGGGTGCAGCTCTGTCGATTTCTGGGTATTTCCCACTGCTTATTCCTCCGAACCAGGCTCATCATGTTCCATTATTAAGCTTTGCGGTTCACCCTGGAGTTGGGGAGAGGAGAGGAGAGAGCAGGAGAATCTTAGACCAAAAATGAGAGCTATCGGAGTCATTTTCTACAGCATTTTCCTGCTGCTTGAGAAAGGGTACTGAGCTAAAGTAAACCCTCACCAGACAGTGCAGCTCACAGAACCATAGAAACAAACAGTACAGAAGGCCAATAAAAACAGAAGCGGCTGGGAACACTCAGCAGGTCAGGCAGCATCTATGGAGAGAGTAAAGTGAGTCAACATTTCAGGTTGATGATCTTTCGAAGGCCCATCCATTCGGCTCAGCATGCTGGTAAAATGACCCAGGCCATTGGCACCAATGCCAACATCTGTGCCAACCCACTACCCAGGGAAGATCCTCACCCTTTTGTAGGAGAAAACGACAAATACTAATAAGGGGTTGGAAATGGTGACCTTTGTCGTTGAAAGTTGACCCCTCCCTGCACTTGAGTCCAAACCCACCTTCTGAATGGGTAACCCATTAGGTCGCTCACAATCATTCCAGGGAATAGAGATCCCATCACTAATTCCTCCCTTACCAACAGCCACTGGATCTGCTTTTAGACAGGGTCAAGGGTATTGGGTGAGTATTGCTGAACTGAGGCTGTAAGCAGGATCTTACAAGATACCTGGCATCTAACAAATAATGTTTGATTTCCATCTCAGAGATGGAATCAATAACCAAACTCATTATTTTCCACGCTAAACTTGACCAGAGATTCAATGGCTGTTTATTTCCCTATCCTTAAAACTTAGTGCAGGGGCTCAGTGAAATTTGCCATCAATCTGTGGCTCAGGACATGATAATATGCAAGAGCTTTGTGGTTAGGGCCTCGTCAGATTGTTCTCTCAGCACAAATACTTTCTCATGAATATTAATGTCTAGTGAGAAGCCTCGGTTAATAAAGCAGCTTTCTTATGATCCACATGGGGACGCAATGGAAGGAAAGAAGAGCGTTTTAAGAACATGTCAAGCTCTGCTGTTAACAGGTGGCCATTTGAAATAAGCTTCCTTTCCGTGGTACCGTAACCATCTGTCAGAACCCCACCCCCCCCCCAACCCACCTGCACCCCCTCCCCAAACCCCTCCACCCGCCCATTTTTCAACCAGTGCTCTCTAGCGCGTTCTGCCGATACAAATCGGATGTCAATGATTCAGCACTTTGATACTGACATGTGTATACCTCTCCCACTCCATCAAAGTTTTATTAGCATGCAGCTGCCCTTATCGATTCACTCAATGAATCTGCCATCAGTTGTGTGTGAACTTGGGTTATTTTTCTCGACTGGTCATTTATCTAAGTTTATCACCCTTTTAATTATGCAATCAGTTGATGAAGTTACATTAGGTAGGGTCTCTTTGTGGTACTCTTTCTCCAGTTGTACGGTTAAAGGGGTTGGCACTGTTCTGTGCTGGACAACCTTAACCCCCATCCACCCCCACACCCTCCCCCCCTATGAAAAACACGTTCCTCACTATGAGAGTGGCGTCTAGGCGTGAATTGTTTTTTTTCACACAGTGTAAAGGGTATCGGATTAAAGGCCATTCTGTTTTCCTTCAGTGTCTGATATTTTGGGGGTGGGGCACTGAATCGGTCATTTCAATCATTTCCTCTTCCTTCCTAAGCTTTGCGGCCTCCAGGGGAGAGGAATGGGTGAGATTGGGGTGGGGGGAAGGGGGAAGTCAACATGAAAGTAACCAAGGGAGGGTTCTCATTCAAACCAGGCTGGTACTGTTCACATGGAATGAGGGCCTCTTACTCTTACTCAATCACAGGTGTGGTCTTAACACAGTGCTTTATGCAAAACGTGGGTATTTTTTTTCTCCTGTCTAACGTGTGTGAATGTTGTTTGTTTAATAATTCTTTGCGAGCTATTTTTCTTCAGATTTACCTTCCATCACAAGGGCCCGTTGTTCTTCCCTGAGAGTCTGCTGTTGACATGCCTTAAGTGCACCGAGCGTGAATCTTTTTGTCCGCACCATTGCCAGTGATCGAGGGCTGCTATGTTCTGCTGGTATTACAGCCAACCTGCTTCTGGGCAATTGCTTGACCTGGGAGTCCAACCAAATGTGGCAACAATAAGAGTCTGACCAAAACTGACACAATATTAGCTTCTCCAGTTTTCTTATCTGATACTTTGCTGATGCCAGTCTCATCAATGGCCAACATAGTGCTGGCAGTTGGGGAACCATTTGATGCCAACCTGATGTCCTTTAAAGAAGGGCCCTTTCCAAAGGACCCCCAGTCCAGGATTGATGTCTTGCAGACGGTTGAGTCCCGCCTCAATGTTGCTACCATTTGCTCCTTCCTCCTCCTGAATGCCACCTGCGTTAAAATAAATGTCCGCCCTGCAATGTTGGGGATTTTCAGTGTTGCCTCCTGAAAGGTTTGTCAGATTGGTATGAGAGCCCATCAGGTTGTGTTAGAATTGGTTACATTACACCAACATTGAGCAACCCTTAATTCCAGCATTGTCAGCGTTTCCTTTTTGTCAGCGTCAAAGGTAACCCAACGCTACAGGACTTCGACCTCCATTGCAATGCAGTGAATGCATTTCCTCGACCTTCAAATCTAAGTGATGCTTACCATCTTCTGATACACAGTGCTTCCTCACCTGCCCCCTCCCACTCCCGAATCCTGAGAGGACTTTACAGGACAGGAGGCTTTAGTTTTATGGATGGTCCAGGAGAAAAAAGCACCACAGCACAAATCACATGGGCCAGAATGGCTCGTTCTCGGCATGTGCTGAGTTAGTTGATTTCAGCCGACGCACTAAAATTGTTCTGAGCTGGATTTGGAAATTATGGTCAGGGTTGCCAATTGCTTTCAAGTGACCCTTGCTTGAAACCGTATGCGTGTGGACGTTGGGTGAGGAGGACAGAGTCAAACTGGGATCTGATGCCTTGTTGTCCAACTAAACTGCCAAGGCTCCGTCATGAGTAATGGTCACTTGAGGAAGTCTTACAGAACCGTTACCCTGTAGGTATCAAAAGACTTCAGGTTCGGGGAAAACAGATAATTGAAAATGCTGAGAAGGTTTTTGTGTCTGTGTCTGTTACACCCTTTGCTGCATGATAAAATGACTTTGCTTTCCTTTCAGACTAACTTGTGTCCGCAAATATCGGCAACTTTTTGTTTTGAGCTCAAAAGTTAAAACATTGGTATTTTGACTGCTTGAGATTTGGAGAGGATTGTAAGCGGCTAAATTTACAGACTTCAACGGGGCCTTAATTCTTGTAGTTCAGTGATTTGAGCTATTTTATTTATAAACTGTTTCTCTTCCTTTTCCTGCCTCCAATGGACAGTGAAAGTCCCAATTTCTGGAATGAAGTGAGTTACAATATTGGGATTTCCTGACCTCAACCTGTCCCTAGTCAATGTTGAACTCTGCTGCCAGACACCACTAGGAGATGAAAGATCGCTCACTTTTTACTGCGTCTACCTTCAAGCCCCGAGGCCCCAAAATGGAATCTAACCCCCAGCCCCAGAGTTTCATCCTCCTCCAGGTTCTGCTGCTTCCCAGAGGCAGCCGTAGGTGGTTTGTGTGATTCTAAAAACCGAACAAGCAATGTCTATTAATGATTTGTTTTATTGTATGTGTCCGATCCATTCTGTTTCCTTGATGGTCCTATTGGCTTTGCAACCAAGGAATAGGTTTTCCTGGCAGTCTAGAGAGGCTGCCATCAGCAAGTACACTCGTGTTGGTAATTATTCCATTTCTGATTTTTGACTTGGATTGAAGTCGGATTGAATTCCTGCAAGCTCCGTAACACTGGTAAACCTCGAATAAAAAAAATAAGCAACTGAGTGCTGAGCTATATTTGTGCCAAGCATTTAAATAGTATTCAGTTTGGAACATCAACCTGTGCAGAGCAGACCTGCCCGGTGATCCTTCATAACCTGCCCCTTTTCCCCGTGTTTTGTTACAGAGACGCCTACCTTTTAGCGCTGATTAACACTACCACAAGCTTTTTCTCTGGATTCGTCGTGTTTTCCGTGCTTGGTTTCATGGCATCCGAACAAGGAGTGGATATCTCGAAGGTGGCAGAATCCGGTGAGATTCGTTCGCTTGGAATGAGTCGCTAGTGCTTCCAGCCAGCGCAAAGCGCTTTGACGTGAAAGGCGCCGTTTAAATGTCTATTGCATCGGGAACAAATCCAACAATGTCTAGATTGGCAATTGGCAATTCTATTGCCCACCAAGGCAATAGAAGAACGATTTTAGTATTCATCAGGTGGCTGCTGATGGTCTTGCCCAACCATTGGGGAGATCTCCAGTCTCTTAAGGGCGAGGGAGCATCTGTTCAGTTGTTGAGTTGAGTCCTAATGGGGTGAAACACACACATCCGGATGTAGATTTACTGACGTTTTTCTTTCCCTGCAGGGCCTGGTCTGGCATTTATTGCGTACCCTAAAGCGGTGACACTCATGCCCATCGCTCCACTCTGGGCAGCTTTGTTCTTCTTCATGTTGTTAATTCTCGGATTGGACAGCCAGGTACATGTTGAGGTGTCGTCCTGAAGGGTGGAGGTGCTGCTTCTGTTCCAGTCTTCTCCTAGACTTTCGTTCTTGTTTCCGTCACGGCTCGAATCGCAGAAGGGGCTGACAAACACCTACAGCAAATGGAATTAAATTTGAGCGTTGAGTGTAGAATGGGAGTCAAGAGGAATGAATAATGGCCTTTCAATGTCCACACAAGCTATTAAACAGGGGGCTAGAATAAAAGGATTGCATGGATCACAGCATATAACCACTGTATACAGAGGTCATGATGTGACCTCATACTGCTCAAACCTCACCTTAAGATAAACTTGCATTTAGGAAAGAGCAGCAAAACTGACCCCGTGGGTAACACGGTTAGCTTCGCAATCTGCAAAGAAAGCAGTTGAAAAGGGAAACAGAATCGACATGCGTAAAATATTTGCAATAATATATTTAATAAGCGTTTGGAATAATCGAGCCAGTGGGTGTTCTGACAAGTATGCGAAAGTTAGTTTACACCCAGCTCAGTCCTGAAGAGTTGGATGGTGGTGCGGAGGGGTTTGGGGGAACAAGCCTATTTTCACCTAAGGGACACAGATAGAGGAGATTCAGGGAGATAGCAACAAGCCTGGACGTGAAGGAATTTATATGTGAGGGTGCAGACCATTCGGAGGTAGGCAGGCAGTGGCGAGGATCGGGGTGAAGGGACGTGCGGAGTTTGGTGCGGGTGAGGGAAACATTCCATCTTCTCATCACTCATTTAACTTGTCTGTTCAACGTCTGCAGTTTGTGGGAGTTGAGGGGTTTATCACCGGCATCATGGACCTGTTTCCCACCTCGTTTGCCGGGGGCATGCGACGAGAGCTCGTGGTTGCCATCTGCTGTTCGATCTGCTTCATCATCGACCTCTCTATGGTGACCGAAGTAAGTGTTGCTAGTCGCAGGCTAAGCTTCTTCCCACGGGATTGATAACAACAACAAATTAGGTTTATGTAGCGTCTTTCATGTCGGGAGGTTTGCACCCGAGCTTGGGGTTGGATTCGAGAGTGGGGGGGGGGGAAGATAACCCAAAGGCACTGTCAAAGAGGAAGGCCTTGAAACGGGCCTTGAAGGAAGCATGGGAGGGGACGAGGCAGAGGGGATCCGGGGTGAGTTCCAGAAGGTGGGGGCAGAAAGACCAAAGGCCTGACCAACAATGGTTCAGGAGAGGACACAGGCTTCAGACTGAACTCACAGTCTCAGCTTTTTTCCCCCCTCAATCCAAGTCTATTTACCCACAAAAATGCACAATCGCTTTGGGACGTATAAATGCTTTGGGGCCATTTTCCTGATGTGAAAGGCTCTATACCAATTGTAAGGATTCTTCTTCTCCAAATCCATGGTTTAAAACTGAGTGAAACTTTTCCTTCCCAACCTTAACCTTATTCTATTGGATCCTCAATCTGGCAAGGACTGACTCGATACAGGGTAAAGCTTTCTCAGCCATTCACTAACAGTTCTGCCTGAGGCAAAACCTCAGAGGAATGCCTCATTCTGCCACACCAACACATCACCGCTTCCTAACTGATTGCAATGACACAATTTTGAACATTGGTACGTTCTGAAGTGATCACAAACCAAGCACCCACCCAAACCAAGCACCCACCCAAACCAAGCACCCGCCCAAACCAAGCACCCGCCCAAACCAAGCACCCACCCAAACCAAGCACCCACCCAAACCAGCACCCACCCAAACCAAGCACCCGCCCAAACCAAGCACCCACCCAAACCAAGCACCCACCCAAACCAAGCACCCGCCCAAACCAAGCACCCGCCCAAACCAAGCACCCACCCAAACCAAGCACCCACCCAAACCAAGCACCCACCCAAACCAAGCACCCAACGGCATGGGACGTCCTCCCGACATGAAAGGCGCTATACACATGTAATTTTGTATTGCATTGTACAAAGATGAAAGCAAGGAGTCTGCAACCTGCCTGCCCCTTATACCCACCACGCGGCCCGCCCCCCCTTGTCATTGTCCCTGCCTACCCCTCGCCCCTACCCCAACCACCTACCCCTCGCCCCATCGCCGTTGCCTGAACCTTTGCTGTGTTGTGTGACAGGGAGGAATGTACATCTTCCAGCTGTTTGACTACTACTCAGCCAGTGGCATCACACTGCTGTGGCAGGCGTTCTGGGAGTGTGTGGTGGTCGCCTGGGTGTACGGTAAGATTGCTTGCACTTGGCTTTGGGGGCAGTTGTATCAGTGATAGCTTGTGGTAGTTACTGGGTGCAAAGATGAGATGGCCCAGTTACACTGCCTGGCTTTGTGCTGAGTTGGATGATCTCAGCCAAGGGTGGGAGGTGGGCAATACAACTGGACTCAGGCTTCCCTAGGCTAGAGAAAGAGCAAACCAGTGAGTGGCTCAGCTCGGAGGAAAATGTTGCTAAATGTGCTTCTGCTGTTTCGCCCACAAAATACACAGTCAATCCACTCACGGCGCCCTTCACGCCAGGAGGACGTCCCAAGGCACTGGACAGTCAGGAGTTTTGACCCGAGCTGGGGGTTGGGATCAGGAGGGGTGGTAGGGAGTAGGAAGCGTAAGGGGTAGGAGGGTGGCTGAAGGCACGGTCGAAGAGGAGGATCTCGAGACGTGCCTTGAAGGAGGCGAAGGGAGGGAGGGAGGGAGACGAAGGGACTGCTGAACGAGAGGAAAGCTGAACGAAGGCTGTTGCTTTCTGCTTACAGGTGCCGACCGCTTCACAGACGACATTGCCCACATGATCGGGTACCGGCCACTCCCCTGGATCAAGTGGTGTTGGTTGTTCATAACTCCGTGCGTCTGTGTGGTAAGCATTGAACCGTCGACCTTCTATTTGCCTGTGGAGCGTCCCAGCTGAGCCCAAAATCCCGATGCCCACTCACGCACACTTAGCATTGGATAGCGACCTCCATTGTTTGTAGCATGCGACTACCAGGATGGTAGAGGGTGAACTAAGTGGACATAGAAACAGGAGTAGGTCATCCAGCCCCTCGAGTCTGTTCCGCCACTCTGTAAGATCACGACTGATCTATACCTCAAGTCCAATTACCCACCCTTGCCCCATATCCCTCAATACCCTGACCTAACAAGTATTACACTGACCTAACAATTATTCGTCTCAGGAGCAGGTAACCAGGCGAGATTCCTTGCCCCAGGACTAGTGCTGATTCTCTCTGTCCGCGATCTTCATTTACCTTCTACCCGCTCTGTGAGGTATTGAAAGTTCACAATAAACCTCCTATACCCCAGCCAGCTCCTTTGGTGGTGCTTTACTTTGTTACAATCAAAATCTATTCAGGTGGACATTAAATATCCTGTGGCACTACTTATTATTGCCTACAGCGGCCATTCAATCCACGACTGTTTGTGGGAACTCTGCCGTGCTCAATTGTCGGCCACGTTTCACCCACAAATTATACAGAGAATTCACTGTACAGTACATTCTGTGACGCAATTTGAGACGTCCCAACGACGTGATGAGGCCCGAGATCAAATGCAAGGATTGTATTATTGTTACTATTAAAAGACACACAGTCACTACACTTCACAGAGCCCTGTAGCTCAGTAGTTAGAGCACTCGCCTCGCAGGCGAAAGGACCTGGGTTCTCTTCCCGGGCAGGGTGAAACGTTTCGAACGCGAGGATTATTATTAATAACACATTGATTTTCAGGAAGAGGCTAAGTTTGTCTCAGTGTTGTGGCTGACCTGCTGTTTTTTTACACAGGGAATATTTCTCTTTCATATTGTGAACTACAAGCCCCTGACTTACAACAAGACTTACGTGTACCCGTGGTGGGGAGAGGCCTTTGGCTGGAGCCTGGCTCTGGCCTCCATGGTCTGCATCCCATTGACCGTGATCATCAAAATGCTTCGCAGCAAAGGGACACTCCGAGAGGTCAGTGAGGCTCTGTCCCACTGAACAGCTACATACAAAGAGCAAACGTTCTCATTGTGTGGGTGGTGTGTGTCTGTTGGAATGGTGTGTAGCGGTGTGAGTGTGGAGGGTGCGTGTGTCTTGGAGTTGTGAGTGTGAGAGAATGGGTGTTCGTGTTCGTGAGTGTTGGAGTGCTTGTGTGTGTATGGGAGGATGTGTTTGTGTTGTATGTGAGTGAGTGGGTGGGTGGGCGGGCGGGTTTGGGTGGGTGGTCTTGTGTGCCTGTGGGTGGCAGGGAGGTGTGTGTGTGTATGACTGTATATGTGAGACTGAACTTGTGTATGTGAGGTTGTGTGTGTCTGTCTTTCTCTGGGTGCGGTGAGTGTGTGTAGGAATGGGTGTGAGTGTTCATGAGTGTGGGAGTGCTTGTGGGTGTATGGGAGGATGTGTGTATGTGTGTGTGGCTGAACGTTTGTGTGTGTCCTAAGGAAGCATGTGTGTGTGAGGGTGTGAGCGTTGGTGAGTGTGTGCGGTTGTGTGGGGGGCGGAAGATTGATGTGTGGGAGTGTGTATAATATGTGTGTGTGAGTGAACATGTACTGGTCACACTTTAAGAATAGTCCCACCGATTGTTTTGAATCTCTTCTCCCCTTGGTCTCCTGGTTCAGTTGGTAGCACTCTTGCCTTTGGGTCAAACGTTTGGGTTCAAGCTCCTTGATAGGACCTGAGCTCACAGTCCAGGCTGATACTCCAGTATAGCTCTGGGGAGCACTGCATTGCTGGAGGTGCAGCCCTTCGGATGAGACATTAAACCCAAGGTCCTCTCCGCCCGTCCTCAAGTGGATGTTAAAGGTCTGCTGACAGGATTTGGAAAAAGGATATTTCTCCCGGTGTCCTGGCCAACAATCTCCAAGATAAAGTTGGTCATCCACTTCATGGCTGTTTGTGGGCTAGCTATTGCATTCGCCTACAAAATACGCAGTCACTACACTGTACAGTAAATCCTGTGAAGTGCTTTGAGGCAGTCCCCGACCATGAAAGTGATAGGCGCTGTATCAAATGCCAGGTTATCATTATTTTGACTGTGTGCGGGATTTTGCTGTGCGTAAATTGACCTGACTGTGATAACCTGTGAAGCACTTTGAGGGCAACATAGGCAATGGTTCATACTGCAGTATGGACCTCAATGTGGAACTCAACCTGTTAATATTGCCCCTACAGCGTTGGCGACACCTCACCACTCCTATCTGGGGCTCCCATCACCTGCAGTACATGACCTTGGAGGTGGAAATAAAAATTCCACCATCAGAGGAGCTGAAGGAAAAAGAGACTATAATCTAGCAACCGGTCAAAAGGGGCCTGATATCTACCCTTGAAATCCAAGCGCACTCTCTCAACGTAGGCCAGCTTCTCTCTGTGATTGACATTTGCCACTTGTTCCCCATTTACCCTTTCGTGACATTTTTTGATGTGTTTTGTAGAGAGCGTGGAAAGTTGTGAATCTCAGCCATGTGCATTTACAATCCTGTCTATCTTTTAGAATATACTCCGTGTTTTGTGACCACGTAGCGGTTAGAAAAACCCACAGCTGTGTGGCCTGTACTCCCATCACATACTCGACCTCCAGGAGTCAAAGCTTTCAATGGTGCAATCAGTTACATGGGATGTTGATCCAGACTGTGTTTCTGGTAGGTTTGTGCTGGGCAGAAGGATGATCTCAGAGCTTATAGAAGTACCAGCGTTGGCTCTAACATGGCACTCGAACAAACCACTGGCAGGTTCAACTGCAATGACTCTTCCCTGATCTAACGCCCTGCACAGATAGGAGGTGAAGTGGTTTAGAGGCCCCATTTGGCTGTATCAGTCACAAGCTTCCTTCATGCTTGGTTGATCTGCAGAGATTGGCCATATGCAGAAGCTTTTTGTTCAATCGTTAACATTCATCCATCCAAAGCTCTGCATTTTACCCTCATGGGGGGGTGGCGGGGTGTGGGGTGAGGGTGAGGGTGGGGGGCAACTTGCCAGATCTTTTTTCTTTCTGAACCTCAGTTTGCCGAATTCTTGTTTTCTCTGCCTCGGTTTCCAACCTTGATCATGTGGACCATGGTCACTTCCCTGAGTTTTCTCAATCGGATGTGGTCAGGTTTGCTTCAGACACTAGTGTAGACCTTATTGTCAGGAACATGACAGCATTTCGTTAGGGCATTTCCCTTACACTCTCCCCCCACCGCCCACCCTCACAATCCTCTATCAGCACTTCATGCCGTCTAAATAAAAGTATTGGGCATTTTTAGGGCTATTATGTTATTTTTTTACAGCTATCGCTGCAATTCAAGCCACATAGTCCCCGTTGCCACTGGGTGAGTCACTGATCTTGAGAGAACGTCGTGGCTATTCAATGCAAGCTGCGCCCTTCGCAGTCCGTGACCCCCTAGAGTTATTATAACCTGTACTGTTATGGCCTTGACTCACAGAGCTCAGGACCTCTCGTTAATGAACCACCCAGGCTGGACAACCAACCATCAAGCAATGCCATAGATTACAGTTGACCTGCCTTTACTCAGGCAGGTTTCCTCAAAGCCAGTTCAACCCTAGTGTGCAGTCTGACTGTCTCCCTTCCCCACTTTTCCCAGTCCTCAGACTGTTTTTGTCTTGTGGGCCCTCATGACCTCTGCAGTCGAACTGAGGATACAACCTGAATCCCGTGTCTGGAATAATGAGTCTAAAGTATAGACCACAAGATCGAATAATTTCCCCCTCTTTTCCCCTCTCACTTCCCCCCACCCCAATCTCTCCACTCGTCCTCCTCTCTTTCCCCCTCCCCAAATCCCCGCTCCCTCCAGCCTCAGGCAGAACTCTAGCCGAGGATCCTACCAGAGATATTCTAAGTCCCCATCAAGCATTCAGGAGGTCAGCTGGGGGGTCCCATCATTCCTGCCCCACTCTGGCAGCAGGGCGTGGGGTGGGAGGCAGTGGGGGGGGGGGGGTCTAGCCTCCACTCAGCACTTCCGCAGAGAAGAGACACGTAATTGAAGACGGTTCCTTGGTCAGTCCTGAGGTGGTCAATTGCCTGAAGGATTCAGAGCAACTCCGGGTGGAAGCACAAAAGGATATTATATTCATCCTGAACCTTTGAACGCTTTGATTCCTCATTCCGTGCCATATTTTTATCGATTTCTTTTTTTTAAAAAAATACCCACAATCTTAACATTACGAGAGAGAGAGAGAGAGAGAGAGAGAGAGAGAAACTTGGATAACAGACCTCAGCCACAGCGATGTGTCTAAGCACATTCTCGTCCACTACAGCAAGTGATTAGCACACGCTCACGCTCAGACATGTCAGCCCTTACCTCTCCTCTTCGCTCAAATGGAGGGAGGCGAGAGAGAACGAGCGAGAGAGAGAGAGAGAGAGAGCGCGAGCGATAAGTTCAATCCGTATTTTTGTTTATCTTCGGGGAGGGGGGGAGTGGGTGGTGGGGGGGGGAGGGAATTGCTTTGTGGAGTCCTGTAGCTCAGTGGTTAGAGCACTCGCTTTGCAAGCGAGAGACCTGAGTTCAATTCCAGGCAGAGGGCGAAACCTTGGGCAAGTTTCCTTACTCCACACAGAGCCTAATAATAATCCCTCCAAAAAAACCAAAAACAATAATAAATTGGTCATTTTCAATCCACGACTGTTTGTGGGACATTGCTGTGCGCAATTGGCTGCCGCGTTCGCCCACAAATATACAGTCAATTCACTTTACAGTATATTCTGTGAAGCGCTTTGGGACGTCCTCTCGACGTGAAAAGCACTATATCAAATGCAAGGGTTATTATTATTATTATTATTGTGCTGGCTTTCATTTTCAACGGTTGTTCCTTACCCTTAGCAAAAAAAAAACAGGCGTCGCAAGCTTCCCCCGCGAGCTTCTGACCATTCCCTGCAGCTGCAAAAAAAAAAAGAGCCTTTGCAAAATTGACCCGAGAATCGTCCTCCACCGCGTGATGCTGAACGATTCACGGTCCGATCCGAATTGAGCTTTACACGGGCGCCTATCGCGTCCGGATGACGTCGCAAGGCGCTTCCCCCGTTCACCGCAGGGTATCGACTCCTCGACTGACTGACTGACTGACTGACTGACTGACTTGCAGGTCGGTGCTGCTCTCTCTGTCACCTGCACGGGTTGGGTCAGTCTCCCCGAGGGTAAATATCCTGTACGTTATACCTCAGTCCCACCTTTCTGCACCCTTGGCCTCTTCAGCTCAAGCTGGTGGTCGGTGAGAGCGAACCGGGGTCGGGTGGGGGTGGAGGGGAGGGGGGCCAGCGCGGTCCGGCTGCCGGGGAGTCACTCGGGCGCAGAAACGTGTTCTGTTCCACGCTCAGCAATGTCGCAGCGCGCACTTCATTTTGTTCGTTCGATTGATGGGACGAAAGAACTTTTCCCTTCGCTGGCTGCAAAAGGGGGTGTGGGGGGGGGGAGAAAGACCCACATGCACTGAATTGGATCAGTGTTAGCTCTCTTCGTTAATGGGTACAACGACAACAGATCACATTCGTGCAGCGCCTTTCGCGTCGGGAGGACGTCCCAAGGCGCTGTACCGACCAGGCGCACAGGACCTGCCGCAATTGGGCGCTGAACGGGCAATCTCGCTCAGTTAAAGCCACGAGGCTAGTTTGCGGGGAGTTGGAAAGGTTGCACTCGTGCGGTTGGGTTGTACTTCCTGCGATTGGAGATGAGGCATTTTGTGGGGTGTGTGGGTGGGGGGGGTGGAAAGAGGTGCGAAAGTGACTGTACTCCACTTCTAAACATACCTGACAACAGGAGAGAAGTTGTAACCCTAAATATCAGAACGTAAGATAGTCTTCTGTTCTTACCGCGACCATCCTTTGCCTTTAACGGATGCAAAAATACTCCCCCAAAGGTGTGTTGTAAAAGACGGAGAGTGTGTGCCACCTGTGCCCGTGCCAAGGGGTTGGGGGTGGGTGGGGTGGTGGGGGGGGGGGTGAGATATCAACGTGACATCCTACTGTTTGTCTGTACAGCTGGTTACCAGTTACTGGTTAGCTTTAGTTTCAATGGCACCAGATTTATTTCTAACAAGGTAAATCTGGCCAAAACTGCACTCCCTCCCTCTACAACTGCGTAACATTGCCTTTCCATCAACTCGGACCACACACTGCATGTGCATCATCACAAACTCTTCCGATGTGGTGTCGTCTCGTGTCAGTTTCGCAATGAAATCATCACCACCCCAGCTTTGTACCGTAAAGCATCGAGGCAGAAACTGGACACTTAAATGATCAACAGAGGCTGGTATATTTTTTGAAAGGATTTAATTGTATCGTGTCTGAATGAGCAATAAATGGTATCAGCATTTTGAAAACGACTGCCCCCCTCCACCCCCCCACCCCGTGCATTTCTTCGTAAGACTTTCTCCGCGTCTTTTCAACCGCTCGTGTTCCTCTGGTCGATTCCTTCAGATTAGATTGAAATAATAATTTGGTCGCTTCAATGCGCGACTGTTTGCTGCCGTGCGCAATTGGCTGCCGCGTTTCGCCCACAAACTATCCAGTCAATTCACTTTGCAGCGTATCCTGCGAAGGGCTTTGCGAACGTCTCGAAGGCGTGGGAAGGCCCTGGGTCAAATGCAAGATCATTATCATTATTATTACTTCCTCTCACGAAAGGTTAAGGGATCTGCCAAAACTCCACCAATTCCTTTGTCCCACACTTTCTTCTCCCTCCCAAAAATAGACATGCCACACGTTCAATTAATTAATTGTCTCTCGATTTTCCTCCCTGCTCCTTCCCTGAAGCATGAGCTCGTGCTTAAGGAATGGATCCGCAACCATCCATTTGGCAAGTTTGTCCCCAGAGGGTGTTGGCCGGATATCTGAGACCTGGAGACTGTCACAGCCGAGCCCTCAACGATAATTCAGGCCTCGTCAACAACCACTTGCACCCTTCACCCCGAGTGGCATCTCAAGGGGTTTAACAATACCGTGTGTGGTTTGATGTCGAGCTGGTTCAAGAGGAACTTCTTCAGGTTCGATCTGACGATGGGCAAAGAGGTGAAGGGGTTCCAGCAGAGGAGTGGGGAGCTGTGGCTGAAAGCATGGCCGCCGATGGTGGAGTGGAGGGGGCCAAGGTACAAGCAAGAGCCCTGAGCCGGCTGAGCGAAGGGGGTGGGTAGAGCAGTGGGGTATGAGCGGGTTGGAGAGGTGCGGGGGGTCCTAAAGTCAAGACACGGAAGGCCCTAAGCAACATCGTAAACATTACCTCACCGATCTTGAAGGTATTAATGGTATTTAAAACCAAAGCCTATATCTCCTGGGTGTTTAATGTGTGACGGTGCAGGGGAAATGGGTTCCAAATGCCCAAAAGTCTACAAAATCAACTTGACCCATTTTTAATACCTCCTTTGGGTCTATTCCATTGAGGGATCCCTCCCGGTGAGCACACTGACACTAGGTGCCTTGGTCACGGACTCTTAATGACTAACTGGTTTAACGGAAAATAAGCAAAGCACTCGTAGTAGGTCATGTTTGGCCACTGCAGTCAGGCAGTGCCACCTGCTGTTCTTTCGATTGAAAAGCACAGCCGGTTCCAAGTACACTTAATAAAGAAACGAATCCTCGCACCTTTCACGTGTGTTTTTGGGGGGCGTGAGTGGCTGTCGCTCCTGTCGGCTGTGGAAATATTTCACTGGATGTGGCGCTGCTGTTAAGCCACTGGAGGGTGCCACTCACACGTTGAGATTCGGAAATGCTGCAAAACTTTCTCTTCCAAATCGATTTAAAATAATGATCGGAAGCGCAGCCCTGCAGCAGCAGGATTTGCTATTCTTTGCGTGTGTCTGCACGCGTGTGTGCGCTCGCGCGTACGCGTGAAAAGCTGAGGCGAGGTGTCCATTCTGCTTCAACGTGGCCCTTTAGTGCTAAGCCCGGGCTGCCTTGCTTGATGTGTCGCTGTGACCTCTTGCGTTGCGATTGCCAATCCGCCCGCTCTCGCCTCAGTCATCGGGTGCTGTGAGCTGTTCTCAGCGGGAAACGAGTTGAATCTCTCCGAACCAATTGGACGCAGTGGAAGGAGGTAGAAGACTGCGGACGTAGGCGTTAAGGGGTTAATATGGTGGCACAAGGTTGCTATCACGCTGAGATTGCGGTGGGAGATTGCTCCAGACACTTATTGGAAACAACTGTGCAGACCAGTCTTACATCAATGGCAATTAAATAAATCTAAAAGACATTTGCTCCACATCATCGGTTGTTGCCGAGTCAGCGCAGAATAATGAGCTGGTTCGAAATGTCAGGTCGGGTACGATGTGGGTAAGTAAGTTGTTAAATCCACCAGGTTTTGGAACTTTTTTCGGGGGGGGGCAGGGGGAGAAAAACAGGAGAAAATTGTCGTGGGAGGGAGAGAGGAATCCACACAAATCCTGGGTTAATTTGGTGAAAATCGCGAATTTCTTTTGGAATGTCACAATAACCAAACACCCTCCCCCGCCCCCCCCACAAAAAAAAATGTGCTTTGTTGATTAATACAATTATTGATACAGTAGAGAAGTGACTGGATGTTAGATAATGGGGATGTTAAGTCAAACACTAAGTGGCATCACAATCTCACTCCTTATCTCACACAGACACACACACACACGGACGGGACGGACACTCTGTTGTATTAGGTACATTATGTTAACGGACTGATGTGGATAGATATGTTAGGTCAGGGTATCGAAGCGTACGGGACGAGGGCTGGTAATTGGAATTGAGGTACAGATCAGCCAAGATCTTATAGAATGGTGGAACAGGCTCGAGGGGCTGAATGGCCTACTCCGGTTTCTGTGTTCCTCTTTACCAGATACAGAGTAAAGCTCTTTTTACATCAAACCTCGGCAGCAACTGGAGCAACGCCTGTCGAATTGGGTCCCTGGTAGCATTTAACCAGTAACTTGATAAATCTTTGAAAAGATATTGCGGGGGAAGCAGGGATTCGAGTTAATACTCCAGTGGGGAAGCGAGTACACAACAGACTGAATTCCTCCTGTGCTGTTAACCACATGATTTTGTGCATATGACCAGGTTTCCCACACTTAAACAAGATGCAGGGGTCCCATTGACAGTGTCAGAAAACAGCAGTGTAGTTTTCTTCGAGTCAATGCCCCAGATAATGTGTCACACCTGGACTCATGTCTGGCAAACCTGCCTTATTCAAAACCCACCTGGGAACAGCTCGGAATCAATGACGCTGTTCCCTTTGAGCTGAGAAGTGAACGAAGTGAGATGGTAGCCGGCTGAATATGCCGCAGAGCCGGAGTTGTGAGGTGAGTGTGCGAAATATTGAATAGAAAGATAATTTTAAGCGACTTCTTTTTTTAAATTCAAAGGACTTGTAGCTTGAGAACATATACCAGACCTGTGCTGTCCTACCCTGTTGGTAAGATACACTGTGGATAACTTTCCCCAGTGCA